TTTCTGATATTTAAACATAATGCTACAACTTCTCTAGAACATACTGGTGATCAAATGTGAATTTTTCTTTTAGGAGAAAAATTGATGCTTAATGTTATTATTCTTATTTGTATTTTTTCTATATTAAAAAATTTAACTATTTTCAGTTGACATTAACTTGGCCTTTCTACAAAATATGTTCTGTATTATTAAGATAATTTTATGTCAATTTGCTTATATTTATAGTTGCTAAATCTGTAACTTTCTAGTGCTTTTTTTTTTTTTTTTCAAAAAAAGAGGGTCATAATTCAGGATCTGGGTGAAATTAGAGCAATAATATTCATGGAGAATTTGAAATAGTAGAAAAATAGAGAACAATGACTTATGCTTATCTATATCCTGGTGGCAAACTAAAACACGGAGACTATGTCCTAAGTCATAGCCAATCTTCTTCTCAGGACTAATTACATGATTTCTAGGGCCCAGTTCAAAATAAAAATGCAGTGTCCCTTGTTATTGAATTACTAAGAGTTTCAAGATGGCAATGTCAGAGCATTAAGCTCAGCACAGAACAAACATCCATAAAGATGGCCCTTGTCCTCATATTGTGCCTGCAAAGTGTGGTAGGCTTTGAATTGCCCTTCCTTGCTCCTTCCTCTCAGAGAACAAATATCTTCAAAAATAAATGAGGTTTCTTTAAACCAAAGTTTAAAGAAAGTAGACACTGAGAACCTAATCTGTGATTACTTCCTTTGTGGTTTTAAAGTATGTTCTTAATACCAAATAGATGGTGTCTATTTATATTTGAGTAGATTCTGACAATACTCCAAATATTAAGTGTCTGCCATTCAAAAGGGCTTGGGAAAACTAGGAGTTTATTATTTCCTTAACTAACTCATTCACTTCTGTGAATCAGTGAAATGTTGCAGACTATTTACAATTTCATGAAAACATAAACAGTATGGCTAATACTCCAAATCACGAGGCAACCTGTTTTGATTGCTAACAGTTTTATCAGTGCTCTTCATGCCGTAGACCAGGCTGTTAGCCATACATGGAAAAGCATATATAAAACTCAAAGTGCTATCTATTTTGGAATTCTTTTAGTGCTATTTTTCCCCATAGGAAACACACTTTCTTCCCTCTTTGCCAAATAGGGCGTATGCTATATCCAGTTGCTTTTTTTGTAGTAACATATTGAGCTCATGAACTTTGGAATCATTTCATTAATATAGGCTGAATGTTATTGGAACTGAAATACGTTAAAGATAGGAAATGCTGTGTTATATTTTCAGCATTATTGGTATAAATGAAAACCTTGGTTCTATAGCTTCTCATTTCCATTTTTTCTCATCTTGCTTAGGTAATTTCACATGCAAAATGAGAAAATGTAAATTTTTTGTATTATGTAAAAGTTAAAGTACCATTTAATTGTATGCTCATTTATGAATTAGTGGTTATGAATTTAAGTCCATACATTATAATTCTGGCTTATAAATAATGATCTCAGATAGAGGTAAGATGCCCCACTTAGGTGGCATGTGTTCTGGATACATTGGATGGACTAATTCTATGCCAATACCAAGTCATCTCCAAGTCGACTCCTGTGGATATGCATTAAGGCATCCAGGTGGCCAGTGTAATAACTTAGTCCAGAATTGATGTGGGTCACTAAATCAGATAAGAATGACATAAAAGTTGGAAGATTAGAGTTCAGCAAATATAAATCCCTAGAGGGATCTATCTATCTATCTATCTATCTATCTATCTATCTCAGTCAGTTTAGAGAATGATTAACAAATAAATCATAAATGTTTATGATCATGTCCAAATCTACCCTCTCTACTCTGAATGTGTTACAATACTTGTGCTTAATAATTTAACACAGAAGCAACAGAAACTTTGTAACTAGTAATCTACACAATAGCTTCTATTAATTAAATTATCCATTAACATTTGTGTCATTATTAGAAACTGGAAAATTAAATTAAAGCCAGCAATTTTTAATTGATACTACAGGTAAAGTATGTTTGGACTTGTGTTTAATAGAGCAGGGAGACTGAGGTATGTATAACACAAATTAAACAATTATGCAGTTATTAGGCTAATATGTAGCAAAAGAGTTAATAATAAATACTAGTTTGGGACACTGGTTGTTTAGTTCCATGTAAAACAAGAAAAACACAGAGTTGAAATTTGAAAGTAATGCCACATTGTATCTGGTTCACAGTGACCACTTAATACATATTTGTTAAATCTGATGACAGACAAGAATTTCTGAGGTTTTGGTTCACATTTTAAGAGTTAACCAGCAAAATCTCCCTCTTTCCTGCTGTATATTCCCTTACTTACACTAATGCTCCCTTTTTACTTTAATTCTATCAGATTCTAAATTTAATAATTATGCATATTAATTTTCACTATATCCATCACAAGGCTTAAAACACAGTTGAGGCTGGGCGTGGTGGCTCACGCCTGTAATTCCAACACTTTGGGAGGTTGAGGTGGGTGGATCATTTGAGGTCATGAGTTTGAGACCGGCTTGGCCAACATGGTAAAACCCTGTCTCTACTAAAAATACAAAAAAATTACCTGGGCATGGTGGTGGGTACCTGTAATCCCATCTATTCATGAGGCTAAGGCAGGAGAATCACTTGAACCCAGGAGGCAGACATTGCAGTGAGCCAAGATTGCGCTATTGCACTCCAGCCTGGGTGACAGAGAGACTCTGCCTCAAAAACAAACAAACAAACAAACAAAAAACTCCAAAAACAAAAAACAAACAAAAAACAACAACAAAAAACAAACAAAAAAACAAAAACAAAAAAAACTACATACACACACACACACACACACACACAAAACCAAAAAACCACCACACACAATTGAGTTCCATTCTTAACATTAACTGACAAAATGACCTGAGAAGTCAACCTTTTAGCAGCTTAGGCTGGTAGTAAGAAAGTTTTGTGACTCTAATCAGGATATATTACTCACTGTTCATAACACCTTCTTAAGCTATCATAATAGAGTGAATCTCTAAATTTGCAAAAAGGTAAACACAAAACATGAAAAGCATTGAATATTAGGGAAATCTTTGAATCTAACATTTGTTCCTAGATATTTACATTTTTCACCTGTAAATACCTCAGTTGACTTACTTCATTATGTCTACTTTTTTCCCTAGAAATTAACAGTTTACATTTTTGAGTATTTGGCACTTTTCATAGAGTAATTAAAATTTATCTATCGGAGAAGAAGATTCACTTTTCTTAACCCCACGTTTGTCAAAATGAAGACTTAAAAACTAGCACATAAGTAAATAATGCAACTACATGAAAGTCTCTCTTCTAAATGCCAATTTATAGATTATGGGTTAACTAACACTCCCAGCTTCCTTATAAAACAAACTTGACTAATACTCAGGACAAGCAAAATGAGAGTAGTTAATAGCTACTCCTTTGTAAGTTTATATTTTCTGCTAGCCCCAGTTGTGCTATGAGTCAAATTTGAAGTCACTTGTTAATTTGTGAACCAAGAAACATGCACACACAAAAAGGAAAGCTATTATTTTTATTAAAATAATTTGAATGCTTTTGGAAAACAAGCAATACAAATTGGATGAAAAAATGCTATTGATTTAAGTAGGGGAAAACAACTGTAAGGGGTGGGGAAAAATCTGGAAATCTAGAATTTGGAACTCTAATTTTGTGGATTTTTTTCCCCAAAGTTCTCCTTTCATTTTAAAGAAGCTAAAATTGGAAAACACAGATATGGTGTTATGGCTGTGGAAAAATGCAAGAAAAACATTACAGAATTATAATCAGTGGACACATCCTCTAAGGTTCTTCCTTCTCTCTAGCTTTTGGGATCTTAGTCTGTTAGAGTGGATACTGTTGTGGAGGGCAGAATAAAACAGTTTTGTCTGATAAATATCCTTTCCAATCTTTTTGTATTATACCTCTGTTAAAGCCTTTCATCTTTAGGGGTTGTACCTGATTATTTTATAAATATTCTATGTATATATGAAAAATGCATATTCTCTGTTCAAAGGATGAAAAATTCTCTGTATTAAATCAAACTTATTGATTGACTTCTTATATTACGCATGACTTTACCCTTTTTTGTTTTCTGCTAGATTTGTTGCATTCTGAAAAGAGTACATGAGTCACTATACATTTTGTTTTTAAAAACAATATATTTAGATTATCTGTTTTATGTTCCATACAAATTTAAGACAAATTGTATTTGCTATTACTACCCAATGTCGCTCTCTCTCTCTCTCTCTCTCTTTTTTTTTTTCCTGATTACTGGTTTTATTATTTATAAAAGGAAAATTGTGCCCAGCTTGGTCCATGTAAGGTAATTCAAAATCTCTTTCTAGAAAGAAATTTGCATTCTTGAAAAAGCTTAAGCAATTTTCTGACAGGTTTTAATAAGATTAAGATCCCTTCTTGAAAACTAATTACCCATGGGCCTGGCTGACTGTCCATCAGGAGCCTCAACATCATCAACCAGGTGTTCCTTTCCTTTCTCCCTGTTCCTTCTTTTTTCTTTAATCATATATGACTCAGTATTTAACCACTCTTTTTTTTTTTTCTTAAAAAAGTAAATATCTGTACCAAATAAGAAGTGTTTTAATTGGCCTGTTTTAGGTCTCTTTCCTTATAGAAAGTTTGAGATAAAACTTTGACAAATACTCATATCAAGTTTTCTGAAAAGATTTTTACCGGTTTAAAAGATGTCATATCTGAGTTTCATATAACCATGCCTGTTGTCTTTTTTCCCCATTTGCCTCATAATTATTTGCTCAATGTTTTGCTTTCAATCATTTAAAAATAAATTTAAGTGCCTTATTTTGGTATATAGCTTTTATAGCTGGCATTAGGTTTTGTAGTTTCTGATGGTCTTTGCTTTTAATGTCACATAAATATGTTAATGTTTAGTATTATAACTGATATACTTGATTTTATTCCTTCTGTTCTAATTTGTATTTATTTTTTCCTTTTTTTCTCTTTTAGAAAAACTGTCCTTAGAAAAAGATCTGAAAATATGACAAAGGGATTGCTGTGTCCTGTCCATTCTGTGGAGTCTTGAGCCATGTTCTAGCTGGCCCAGTCTGCAATTGTCAGCCTCTCTAGGGATGCCATACTTGAATCTCCTTGAGTGCCCTAATAATTTTTCTATTATAGTTGCCACCTATCTCTTTTGGCACCTATCTCTATGGGCTGGCCATGTGTTCTTTTTACTCTGACTCTCTAGCACACTCTGGCTGCTAACTCATCGGTTGGATTGCTACTTTTTCTTTGCTGACTTTTTGGTTGATGAACTTCAAGCACTGGGTGTCCTACAAGTGGTAAGAGGTGAAGTGACCTTCTGCCAGGAGATGGTGGCAGGGAGTCCATTGAGGCATCCCTCTATTCCCTGATCTCGTCATACCTGCTCAGCCTTAGGGAAGCAAAGATTCAGCCAACCCACTGCTCAGTCAACTCATCCATAGATCTCCATAGGTTAAACTATTTCACGGGTCTGTTGTTTTGTGATCCTCACTCTCAGGTTTCAAGACTCTTCTTTAGGTGTTCAGTGAGTCACCAGGGCGTGGGGACAATAAGGAATATTGCCAATTTTCTTCCACAGGGAGCTCCTCAGAGCCCACAACTTCATTTCATTTCAGCTCTTATGAAACTCAACCTCTTTTTATTTATTTTTATTTTTTTTGTAATTGGTCAAAAGTAGATAATTCAGAGCTAGGGCTAGAAACTTGCACTAGAGGCTAGAGGTTTCTAGAGACTTGTTCAGGTTATTATCTTTTCAGAATTTCCTTCTGTACTCAGGTTTTGATTTTAAAAGCCAAGATTTTAGATTATTTTGTTCTCTAGTTTACCTACTGACAATACTCAAACAATAGGTGCCCTCTTGTCCCAAGTTGGTGGAGGGCTACCAGAGAAACAGAAAGGAAAAAAAAAAGAAGCATATTAATGAACACTTTATAATTAATGAACACTTACTGCCCTGGCATTAATGAATAAATAGGCTGGGGATATTGAGGGATACGTTAAAGCAAGGAAAAATAGAACATATAGCTGTAAAGCCAAATGGCAATCAAGAAAAGCGGGAAGATTGTTTTCATCATACCATTTGGGGAACTCCATTAATCAGTAGAGCGACATCTGCAGAAACTCTGATGGTTATCTGATACCTAAAATCCTAAACTCTGTTCCAGCTCAGCCACAAGTGAACTGGGTGATTTGGGAGTAGATATTTGAAGTTTTTTCGTTTAATATTCCATCTCCAAAATAAGATATTTAATCATATTAGCCTTTGAAATTCTAGCTAAGTCCAAATTCAATGACAATTCTTGATAGATCATATATTCAGACACATACATTTGGAGATGCATGCACACATTTTTCTTTCCTCTGCAACTCAGCTTCCCTGTTGGGGATGGATTGGTTTCTGGACTGGAAGTGATAAAAAGGAGGTACCCTTCTGGCTCAATATAGTCCAGCTATATATAACTTACAACAATACATCTAGTAGCACTCCCAAGTGTGAAACATGCTGCCTCTGGATACACACCTGACCTGTAAAAAAGAGGTCATCATATGTTTATCTGGTGGTAGCATTTTTCACACTTGGGAATGCTGTTAGCTGCTTTTACTGAGTGACATAAACCCTGCCAGCTTTGAGTGGGACTCAGAGCAAAGAAGTGCTCTGTAGTAGGTCCATGGTAAGGTGCAAGCAGCCTTGATGTGTGGGCCATATGGCCTGACAGATCCAGTGCTATTAGAGGAACCTGTGGTAGGAAAAGATACTGTGTAAAATTGCTGGCTAGATCTGGTAGGATAACTGCAATAGACCCCCAGTGTTCAGGGGCAAGGCCATGCTATCTGCAGTAGACAGTCATACGGCTTTCAGAAGTATAGTTCCTGTTGTGTTGCTGGACCCTAGTTGAAACAGCACTCCTGACAATGGGACACCAAGTGACCCTATGACCAGAGCTTCCCATTATAAGCTGGTTTCTGTTAGACCCTCTACATGATGAACTGTCAGCAGTTTATACTCAGAAGGAAGTGGTACGTCTGGAGTCAGTCATAAGCAGGGCCAGAGTTCATAAGATGTTTGAATGAGTGGCCCAGCCGTCCATGATATCTATTGCTGTTCCACTGATGCCTCTCCTTCAATTAACTATTGCAGCTGCTGTACCAGTTAAAGCAGTCTATGATCGCTTACCCAGAAGGGAACAGGTGAAGCTTGGTTCATAGATGGACTTACTCATTATGTGGTGCAACCTAGAAATATATTACCATTGCATTACAAACATATCTGAGAGTGGCCCTGAAATACAGTAGGGGCATGGAAAATTCTCCCAATGAACAAAGCTGTAGGCTTGAGTAAAATATATATGTGAACTCATTAACAGAGGTGAATAGTTTGGCTGTCTGGTCAGGGGCATAGAAAATGAAATATTGGGCTGGAAGCATGTGGTTAGACCCAAGAAACCTTAGAGAGCTTGAGTGTAAATTGTGAAGATCTTTGTATCAAATGGTTGTAATAATCCATCATGGAATAAGCACTAAACAATCAAGCAGATGAACCAGCCATCTTTTTCATCCACCAACCATGTGCTGGCACAATGAACAGCATGAACAATGAATAGCATGACCATGGCAGCAGGGATGAAAGCTATGCATGGGCTCAACAGTGTGGCCTCCCTCTTACCAAGACTGATCTAGCTCCTACTATTGCTAAAGATTCAATCTGCTGGCAACAGAGACCAAAGATGATTCCCTACTCTGGCACCATCTTTCTAGGGGAGATACCAGTCACTGGTGTCAACTTAATATATTAGACCCCTTGTATCCTGGAAGGAGAATGAATCATCTTGACAGAAATAGACACATATTATGGTTTTTCGTTCCAGTCTGCAGGACTTCAACCAGAGTCACTCTCTGAGAGTGGGCGGAGTGTTTATTCCATGGCTCAGAATATAGCATGATATTCAAGGATGCACTTTACAGAAGGAAGTGTGACCTTGGGAATATAAACATGGAGTCTACTAGCCCCATCACATACCACTCCATAGAGAAGCTGATGGCCAGACAGAGTGATAGAATTGTCTTTTAAAAAGTTTTATCAAGAAATAATTCATGTATCATTAAATTCACTCATTTTAAATGTACAATTCAATGAATTTTAGCGTATTTATAGGTTATTTAACTACGACCACAATTCAATTTAGAATATTTCTATCACTCCAACAAGAAACCTCTTGCTCACTTATAGTCACCACCCATTCCACCCCTGGAAATGCTTTCTGGAGGAATTGTTTATACATCAGTTTAGTGATGATACCTTGCCCTTGCAAAGATAAGATGCCATTCTCTTAGATGCAGAATACACTCTAAATCAATGGCCATGTGTTCTCAGTGGGTATAATACATAGATCTTGGAATCAATGGGTGGAAGTGGGAGTGGATCGTATGAACAGCATCTCAGTAATCTACCTGGGAAATTTGTGCTTTCTCTCACTATAACACCAGATTGTGTGTTTCAATAAATTTTGGTCCCAAGAAGTGGAATGCTTTCACCAGGAAATACATAAAGATTCTCAGTAAACTTTGAGCTATGACTGTTATTCAGTTACTTTAGGTGCCTTTTTTTGTTTTTTGTTTTTTGTTTTTCCACCAAACTGGTAGGGTAAATGGACTTGAAAATCAGGAAGTAGGACTGTTCTTATAAATGGGATCAGTAGAGAATATGATTTAGATCCAAGTGATCCTCTGGGGTGCCTATTGGTAGTAATGCCAAATTTTGACAGTAAGTGGACATGTCCAGCAGCCATGACATGAGAACAGCATAATCCCTAGGATTTCAGTTCTCTCAGAGATGAAAGTCTTGGTCATTCTACTAGGTAAGCCACCTAGAACAGCAGAGGCACTTGCTGAGGATGTGATCAACATGGGATGACTACTGCAGGAAGAATGGTGATTACTAGTTAACCCTGAAACTAGCTGAAGCCATGCAGACTATACTTTGTCCTATTATCATTTTTATTATAATTTTTTTCAGGAAATAGGACCAATCAGAATCATGGAAAACCTGTCTGGAGTAAACTTATATGAAGCAAGTGAATCCAAAAGGGACAATGGTGAACTGCAGTGGATGCTGTAGCTCATTACCCAGAGTCTACCTTCTGGGACAGCAGTCCCTAGCTGCTGAGAGTGTTGCCTGCTGATGGCTCACAGTTGAATCACTCCCCTGCCATTGCCTTCGAAAGGCAACTGCCGTGACCATGGTTATGCTCCATTTCTAGTGGGGAATTTCATATCCAATCAGTGGTCTGTGTGTAGGCACAAAAGTCCAGTCACCTCTACTAATTCAGGATATCTCTGAAGTATTATCTCAGCTCTAGAGCTCTCCATGGGAGTGACTGAGACCTCATAACACAGGATAAGTGCTCCCTTTGCCTAATCCTGCTTCCCTCACTTCACTGGAGGTGGTGTTCCCAAGAGCATTTCCATAAAAACATTTGCACTCAATCTCTGATTCAGAGTCTGTTTTCTACAGATCCTGACCATGTAAAATGATTAATTTGACTTTTAAAATACCAAGGTATGTTAAAACTCGTTTTATCTAAAAAATTGAAGTGAGCAATTGATTAGTAAATGTAATTATAGTAAGCAGTCGAGTTTATTTAGTCCCTCTAGTCTCCCCTGCCTTTTCTTCTTCTTCTTTTTTTTTTTTTTTTTTTTTTTTACCTAAGCAAGAGTTCTTTCTTCAAAATATTTTTTAAAAATTGACACATAATAGTTGTACACATTTATGGGGTACATGGTGATGTTATGATACATATACTGTATAGTGATCAGATCAGGATAATCAGCTATCCATCATCTCAAAAATTTATAATTTCTTTTTGTTGGGAACATTCAATATCCTTCTTTTAGTTATTTGAAACTATACAATATATTCTTGTTAACTATACTTACCTTAGACTAGAACACTAGAACTTATTTCTCCTATCTAGTATTTTTTTTTTTTTTTTTTTTTTTTTTTTAGATAGAGTGTTGCTCTATTGCCCAGGCTGGAGTGCAGTGGTGCAGTCTTGGCTCACTGCCACTTCTGCCTCCCAGGTTCAAGTGATTCTCCTACCTCAGCTTCCCAAATAGCTGAGACTACAGGCATGTGCCACTGTGCCTGACTAATTTTTGTATTTTTC